TGAGTGAGGAAGACTTGAGTTTGAGCGCTGTCTCTGACACATACTGTTCATGTGTCCTTGGGCAAGTCTTAGTTTCATAGGCAATTCTAAGACTAAATTTTAGGGAAAATGCCAATATGCATTGATAGAGAGTTTTTCCTGCTAGGAGCTGGTTACTGCACAAATAAAATCACAAATTAACTAAATAAAGAGTACCTACAGAGCAATCTGTTAAGCCAGAGAGCTAGCTATTAAAGACAAAATGAAACCATTATTGCCTTCAAGGTGCTTACACTTGTGTTGCAGTTGATTGTTGTGGAGGGTGTTGTGGAGGTTAAGGGTAAGTTTGATGATTAATAAATGTTTATTGATATCTCACCAGGAAAAAAAATAACCTTATAAATCAAAGAAAGGGAACTACAAAGTTGTATAAATAGAGACTCTCAGGTTGCTGCCAAAGGCAGGAAGAAATTTGTGGATTGTTAATAAGGAAGTGATGAGGATGGGAGCTAGACCCCCAAAAAGGAAAAACCCTGGACCTTCCCACAAGGCCAAATCTCTGGCATTTGCCTGAGGCTATAATCCCATCAATTGGCCTTTCATTGCGGCTACACCCAATCTCCCAATTCTGTTACCCTTAATCTAGCCTAGCCCTCCACTGTTTTACCTCCCAATGGCCCCTGACCATTTCCCACCCTTAAACCTAGCTAGGCTCCATTCTTGCTTGGCCAGGAGGTCCTGGTCCCAGGCGTTCTGTTCACCCCAGCTTACATTCAGATCTTCCTTAGACCCCTCCTCCAGTCACCTCAAACTACTTGGTCACTCCTAGATCCCTCCCACAGTCTTTCTGTATATAAGGTCCACCTTGTCTCCATTAAGATGCTCAGATTCTAAGAATCGAGCCACTGCTCAGGTTGTTATAATCTAGCCAAAAGCTTACTAATGTTCAGACTCTTAAGGAATCTAAGCATATGCGTCTCTAAAGCAAGAGGACCAGATCTTATGAATCTGAGCCCTTGGCTAGATTCTGAGCATTTGTGACACTTGTAAAGATGAGCAGGCATGAGGAAGTCTCAGTCCCTAAATGGCTGGGATGGATCTTATATACACAAAGACTATGGGAGGGATCTAGGAAAGGCCAAGTAGTTTGGGGTGACTGGAGGAGTTCTAGGGAGGATCTGGATGGGATCAAGGATGGGAAGAGTAATAGACAATGGAGGGCTAGGCTCAATTAGGGTAATGAAGAATTGGGAGTAAGCTATAAAGAAAGGCCAGTTGAGTGAATTATAGCTTCAGGCAACACTTGATCAAGGAAGTGGGGGTACCTGAATCTCTAATCCTATCAACTGGCCTTTCCTCATAGCCTATGCCCAGTCTCCCAATCGTTACCCTTAATTTAGCTAGCCCTCCACTGTCTATTATCTGCATGGCCCACAGGCCATTTACCACCCTTAATCCTAGCTAGGCTCTATTCTCCCTTGGCTAGGTCCCTGGCATTCTATTACCTCAGTCCCCCAAAGACCACTCAGCCACTCTTAGATATCACTAATGTTCAGATTCCTTAAGAGTCTGGCCTGTATGGGTCATCCACAATAAAATTCTGTCTTTGGTTGAAAGAAGATGGGTCGAGTTCATTCAGGCAGGACCCCCATATCGTGGTCTTGGGGTTTCCAGCACCCCAAGAATCTACACCTCATCAAGAGGAAGCCATAGACATTTAATGAGTGACATGGTCAGACTCCAACTTAAGGAAAATCTCTCTAGATGTGTAGAGGATGAATTGGGAAAGTAAGAGGCCAAATTGGAGGGTTTTGCAATAATTTAGGTGACTGGTAATGAGGGCTTGAACTAGGGTGGAAGCTGTGTGGTTATAGAGAAGAGACAATTGAGAGTGATTTGGAGGTAGAAACAAGATTTGGCAATTGACTGGCTACATTCAGTGAAGGATAGGAAGGAATGAAAGTCAATAAAGAGGTAAACCTAGGTGATAGAAAGAAGGTAGTATTTCTTCCCCTAACTGTCTGAAAGAGTGATAGAAGGGAGTGGGAGAGGGGGGAAGATAATGATATATACCCATCCATGTCTGTTCTTCCCTGCTATCTCAGATGGAAATGGCAGAGACTGGGCTCTACCTCACTCTATCACTGCCCTAAGCCCATTGCTTGCTCACCAAAAGGCATTTACTGCAGCCAGAAGATGATGGACAGGGAAGGACTCTGTCCCCTGGGAGCTAGAATTTTCCCAAAGGCAGCTATGTGTAGCTGTGGGTGCCTAGGTAGTACTTAGGGTTTAATTGCCCCCAGGGGGGGCAGCTAGGTGGCTAAGTGGATAGAGCAGTGGCCCTGAAGTCAGGTGGACCTGAGTTCAAATCCAGCCTCTGACCAAACACTTGACAGTACTAGCTGTGTGACCTTGGGCAAGTCACTTAACCCTGATTGCCTCACTAAAAAAAAACTGTCCTCAGGGCTTGAAATCTGTCTTAAAAGGGAATAGGCTGGTCAATTTATACAAAATGGGGTATAATAGCTAAGTGTGGTTGTGTTGGAAACAAGACTTATGATTGGCTATTGTGGAGAATGTGACCCATTTCCCATCTCACCTCACTGGTTGATCATACACCGCCCCGTTAGGGTCAAGCCATAGCTCCCCTATGGAGCCCCGGTCTCCATTTTGTACACCACTGCACTAGTTTACACTTGATGTTGTCTAAGGTCCTTTACAGCTGTAGTACTCGGTGAGTTTATGGAAGAAAATTATGAGAAAAGGACAAAAGCAGAGTGCTTAAGAAGAACATATAAAAGCCCAAAAGTTTGTTAAGAGTTAAGATAATGACTTAGCACATCTGCCAAGTAAGCCATCATGGGAGGTGGGGAGGGCCAGCTAGAACTCTGGTCAAGCTCTAAACAAATTTAACAGACCCTGACTGAATGCTCACAGGGTACACAGCATGGTGCAAACAATGAAGGAGATAAAAAAAAAATAGAAAACTGTGTCTCTGCTCTCCTCAAGTTTAGTCACAATATAATTGATTAATAAGGGACTAGTGTGGCAAACCGGAAAGAAGAGTTTGACCCCAAGAACATCAGACCCCACCAGGATAAGCAAAACCACATCACCACACTGACTCAGTTTTTGATACTCAACACCTCAACTTCTTCAGCCTCCTTTCACCTCAGATTGGAGAGCTCCAATAAACTTCTCCCAAAGCCTTCCTTTGCAGAAGGCTTAGATCAGAACTTTGCAAGTAACTCTCCATTTTCCATTAGCAGCTCTGCTTGGTTGGTACTCCAGGGAGCTGGATGTCTCTATCTCCCTCCTCCCAGACCCCTCCCCTCCAGCTTCCTTTTGTGTGTAGTGCTCTTACATGTGCTCCCTAAGTACCAGGACTGTCTTTTTGTTTGTATCCTCACAACCACAGGCATTTAATAAATGTTTATTGAATTGACCTGCTATTGAAATAATTCAGTCAGGTGGTAATAGGAACCTGTACTATGGTGGTGGCAGCAGGATTCCAAAGGAATAACTGGTAACTTACTGATACAACAAATAAGGTTCTCAAGATTAGGGATACAGAGCTGGAAGTAGGATACCTTAAAGGTCAACTAGTCCATCCCCTTCATTTTACAGGAAATTGCCAAGGTCACACAGGTAGCAAGTAATAATGATAATAATAATATTAATAAAACACTGTATGCTAAGAAATTGCAATTATTAGGTCATTTGATCCTCACAACAACCCTGGAAGGTGGGTGCTATTATTATCCCTATTTTACAGATGAGGAAACCGAGGAAAACAGAGGCTAAGGTGACTTGCCCTGAGTCAGAGCTAGGAAGGTCTTGCTGACTGCGGGCAGGGTGCTCCACGCACTGCACCACTGATCCCAAAGGCAGATGCCTTTGCACTACATCTGAGAAAAGGGTGCAGCCTAACCCTAAGGTTAGGGGGAGGGCAGGCCAGGGCATTGTGTCACTAGGTGCACTGACTGACTCCCCCATCCAAAAGCCGGGGGGTGGGGGCATAACGTCCCCTCATTTCACAGATATAAGATGAGGAACCAAATGCAGAAAAGAGGAAGAAGTCGGGTGAGGTCGAAAAAGCACATGATGATCAGACGGGAGGCCGACTCGGTCTCAGTTCCGGCCCCATTCACTCTCCCAAGCTGGGCCTCAGTTTCTCCCTCTGTAATGAGAGGCTGGACGGGGGCTCGCAGGGGGTCCCTAGCATTCTGGTTTCATGAGAAAGGAAAAGGAAGGCAGTCAAGGGCGGGGCATCGGTGGCGAGGGGGAACGAGAGGACCAAAACTTTGGGGGAAGTTGAGGAGACCAGCCTGAGCTGCCCAAGCGGTCTTGGCAGGAGGACAGGGCGGAGGGAGAACCAAACGAGAGGACCCGGCCAAGGGGGTGAGCTAGGCGCAGGAGAGGGCAGGAAGGCCTGGGGGCCTTCCTGGAGGAGGTGGGCAGGATACCAGGGACAGAGTGGGAGAGGAGTGAGGGGGGGTGTGCCCGCGGGGGGGGGCGGGAAGGGAGCCGGAAATGGGGCAGGCAGGGAAGGCCTCTCACAAAAAAGGCCCCAGCTCGTGGCGCTCCGAAGCCGCCTCTCCGAGCCCGCCACTCACCCGCCGCTGGGGGAGAGGAAGTCGGCGTCATCTTCATCGCCAACCCCGAACATTGCGCCTAGGCCGTCTTTCCCCGGGAGGAAAAGGGACGGGGTATCTACCCGCCGCCGGTGTCGTAAAAATGCCGCGGCGCCCCAGCCCTGCTTTCCGGCGGATGGCACAGGAGAAGGAACGCCGCTAATTCTAAAGCGGAGAGCGGGCAAAAGGAAAGGGGGAGGAGAGGAGAAAGAGGTTAGATGCCAGCAGGAGAAGCAACGTGAGTCCGCATGTCACGAGACGCGAATCGTGCCGGCCCAATTGCGGCCAATGGGACGTGGAGGTGGGAAGGAGGTGGGAGGAGCGACGCGGTGATTGGCGGTTCTAGGAAGGGGGCGGGGCGAAAAGGAGACTCTAGGGCGACCGCGAGGGTTGCTGTGGTAGTGGACACGTAGAGCTGGGTTCTGGTGGAGTGAATGAGTGTGATCGGACGAATTCGCGAGGCAGAGAGGAAGGACCTCAGAGGAGCTGGTGGCGGCGTCTGGATCCAGGACGGTAAGGTCGCATTCCCGACTTCTTCGGGTGTCCTCCATGAATCCTCCCTTAGGGTTCCTCGGGGGTCCCGACGAGGCTGACCCTTCTCGGTGCCCGTGGTCCCTCTTCCCCACCGCTTCCCCACAGAACACGCGTTGTTGGCTCTGCCGCAGGTAGGAGCCATTAGTGCCTGTCCTGGGACAGCGGTAATGAGAGTAGAAAGCAAAGGACAGATATTAGTGCTTTGGCGATCTAGATCAGTCATTTGGGGGTGAGAGTGGGCGGAGGGGGTGGGACTTGCCTCCAGCCCGAGGAAAAGGTTAATAGGGGACCATTTAATTATAGGTTCCTAGATTTAGAACTGAGAGAGATCTTAGAGGCTTGTCTAGGCCAAACTTCATTTACGAGTCGGTGAAACTGGTCTAGAGAGGTTAATCGACCTGCCCAAGGTCACTTCGTTTGGTTTTATGAGTGGGGAAACTGAGGCCCTGCAAGGGGAAGCTACTTGCCCAAAGTCACACATCACATTAGTCATAGAGATCATATTTTTCCAACTCTCTATTTGTAGCGATGAAGAAACAGATCCAGAAAGGATCTTTACTTCCCTTAAGTCATCCAGAGAGTTGGTCCTACAAAATACAAAAAACACTGGAGAGCATAAGAATAAATGGAATTTTCCTTAAAATGATAAGTAGTATCTATCTAAAACCATCAGCTGCCATTATATGTA